TTTGCATATCCTGTCTCTCTGTGTGTCTGTGTGTGCAAGCCTCGAGAGGCACTTGAATCGCCAGAATTTCATGATCCCGTACCTGCCTGTTTGTCTTCCTGCCTCTCCACATATAGTGCACATATCAAAATACAGATATCGTATATGAGACAAAAAGCGTGTCTTGTTTGGCATCGCTCATGTAGTGGATACTGTACACAGTGAATTTCGAATATGTGCTGGTAAGATGTATGTATGTATGTATGTATGTATGTATGTATGTATGTATGTACGGATGTATGTATGTATGTATGTACTACATACTATGTACTGTGTAGCATTCACTAGGTACTATATGCTATATGCCATAAACTTTTTACTAGAAACTCTATAGAATATGCGCTATGCATATATGCTTTACATTGTAGAAGTATGTGTATAATATATTTACACACACATATATATATATATATATACCCTGCAATTCTTGGGGGCGCCGTTTTGAAGGACTCGGTTGCAGGGACGTCTATACTGGGGACCCTGCTTCGACTCACGGGTAGCCGGGGATTCAGCATTTCGGGTGAATCTGCACAACTAAAGGAAAGAGATCTTTTGCAACTCCGGTCGCTCAATTCTTGTCGTGACCTACTGCTGCAGTATCGACACGAGCACGTCGTGCTGCGGTTCGCTTCGCGAAAGCCAAATGACGATGGTGCTTCAGCGCTTTGAGCCTGGAAATGGATTTCTTCAGTATCGCTGCCTCGAAAGTGCCCGGGTTCGCTTTGCGAGCTAACAGCTTTGTCCATCGCATTGCATCCTCGTCAGTAAAGCAATGGTGGTACCGCATATTCATACCTTAGGTGCCGTTTCGAATTTGTTCGAAGCAACTTGTGTTTGCGGTTGAACTCCAAATGCTCACCCAGATGCAGCTTCGCTTCGTTTCCAAAAGCTGGTGCTCAAAGTAGTGGAGTTTCGGAACTACATTCCAGGTGAGCTCTTGCTGCCTGCTATAACACAGAGCCCTACGGGAATCATTACAAAAGATCAAAAAGCCTACAGAATTCAAAAACATATGGCTAAAACCCGGACCTCACCGAAACTTGGGCCAACTCCAAGGTCTTGTTGATGAACAGCATTCCCTCATGATATTGTTGACCTGCTTCTCCTGGGGTCAAAAATCGTGGCATCCGCTCGGACAGTCCGAAAAACCGGGCCAGGGCTGTCCTCAGTTCAACCCGAAGTGGGATGGCAATTCAACATGCGGTTACCATCTTAATTTTCTACTAGAAAGAACGAATTCCCTAACGAATAGAATAATTTAAACCAAATCTCATAGCAAGCGCTTGCAATGGAATCCTCGGGTCTGAAGAGAAACTTGCAGTCCCCGCGTTCACCTGCCCAGCCAGCCATGCTCCAAAGCAACGACGAGCCCCTGTAGCTGGTTGCTTCGATGCAGCTAGTCGCGAAACCGCTGCCAGATACTCGACCATGATCCTGCCATTCCAAGCCTTGCAGCTCATCGAGGGAGTACGGAGACCCCCATCTTTTTTCTTCATAATCTCAGCTGCATCGATACTTAGCGAAACTTGACCGTATGTCAGCTCCTAATCCAAAAAGCAAAGAACCACATAGTCGCAAAGCAGAAACCCTAAACCCGATATCAAAATTTAACGACACCAGGCTCGATATCGAATGCAAGCCACCAGTCCATACTTGAACCTCCGTTGCGAGGAGTAGACCTTGACTTCTTTCAGCCAGCCCTTGAAATCGACATAGGCCGCTTCGAAAAGCTTCCCGAGATCTGTAGACGGATCTCCATACCAGCCTGCTTTCGCCAGCGTGTACCTTGGAAAAATATTATCTAGTGGAAACAAATCTTGATGAACCCCGAACTAATGGAATTGAACCCGGAACGTTGAATCGAAGCCCAGGCACAGGCTTGAACCATTTGCAATGAAGACCAGCCCCAGATTCAGGTTGTGCATGCTGCACATGCGGATGGTGTCCAGGCCGAAATTTGGCAGAAGTAGAAGTGGACCTCAGAGAACTGGCCATAATCCTCTTGGTCTTAGATTCTGCCGACTATGTCCGTTTAGTAGAAATAACAAAACAAACAACATCGAGTCACACAAGTTCTCCAAAGGAAGCTTTTCAACCACCCAAGTAAGCACGTCTCGATAGATAGTGTTCCTCCAGGCTGCTTGTTCCCCCGTATGAGTGAATAGCAGATGCTGATTGCGACCGGTTTGTACGGCGTTGCAAAAGAAACATACCTTTGTCGATTTCCACCCATCGGGAAACCCCCAGACCAGCTTGTGCCATCCCAGATCCCCACGTAGCTCTGTCACGAAAAAACGGCCTCCTATCAATTTGCCTGCGTCCCGTGCTTCCGCCGGCGGCAAAGGCTCACCATGCATTCCTTGATCGGGGAAGACGCCCCTGCTGGCCCAACCCAAAGACCAAACAATGCGCTCCATGATTGGCAAGAGTGTTCTATTGCCTGGAAGCATCAACTTTGTCGAACGGAATGCACAAATCAGAAATCTGCTCAATCGGATGCTTCGAGGCCGGAACAAAACCAAATTCAGAAATATGCCCAGAACTTTTTCTTGTGACTCATGGAGGCCATACTTGGTCTCGTCAGCGTACAATCCAATCGGAATCGCTTCAAGATCAGTTTGCTTTGTAGCCCAATCCATTCCTTTTTCGGCTGCAAATTCCCAGTATTTGCGAATGAGGTCTTTGTCAGTTTTGATGCCAACAACCGAATGAATGTAATGCAGTACTTCGTGAGGGTAAAGCAGCGGAATATCCATCATCTCGTATGTCGCCGAAGAATTGGCTCCTTGTGGAACAACAGGAACTTTGACGAGCTTGGGTTCCTTATCATAGGAAATCATGACATCTTTACCAAATATTTCTGTATGGAAATGTTCAGATACAGACATGACGATTAACAGGAAATCATTGGCATCACCCATCATGCCGATCCCTAACCAGAACTTGGGAAACCCAGTCAATCCGCCAAGCCCCAGCACCCACAAACCAAGTCCCAATCCCATTTCAGGCTACACGTGTTAAATGAAACCCAAAGTCTTGCTTTGCCATTAGCAAGAATCCAGCGGCATTGGGACCGTCCTGTAGAAGTCTCTGGAATCGTTCTTTCCGCAAAATTTAGCCAGTGTCCGCGTCATGCGGGAGCATTGTCCTTTGCTCTCCTGGAACATAGGAAATGCAGCAATATATTTCATAAGATCATTTAACCTGGTGCATTCTGTGTGCAGAAAGAAGCCAAGTATCGGCATGCATAGTTTTTGCTGATCGAATAACACTGCTGGCGCTTTCCCCCTTGGTCCCGGCGGAATATTCGATCCCTGTGATTTTCAGACTAGGAAAGTGTGGCTATTGCAGATGAGATGCGAAATCGCCGATCTTCTCCAACCATTCTTGAAGACCTGGTCCATC